ATTGGAAAGCAAGATCATTTGGAATTAAAGGTATTCGTGGTATAACAGTTTCCCTTTGCGCACATCCAGTTAAAATTGAGGCGTCCCCTATATTTCGATGTAAGTCTTCGACTTTCAGCCTGGTCCCCTTGCACAGTTTAGGTGGTTTCAAATTTCGCAACAACATAATAAGAGTTCCCACACGTTGAATAAACATATAATATGGCATAAATGGTGGTTTCAACGAATTTAATATTTCGACAAAATACCCGTCGTCTATGTTAAATACTGTACGGCCGAAGTATTTTCAGATTATTTATTATTAAAACATATTTTAAATTGCTTGAATTTATTTAACAAACACATTATACATTTGAAGTGTATATAGTATGCATGGGAACTTTTAAGTTTTTCATTATTATTATTATATTATTGAGAGCCCAGAGAGGTGGGTGATAAAATATAAGCTATATATAGCTTTGTAGTTCAAAAAATATTTAAACGGTCTGAAGTAGTATTAGTAGAATTAAGTAGAATAGTATTGAAGTCATAGTTCATCATCCCGAACTTTTGGGAGTATTTTTATATTAATATACTAATATATTTTGGGGGTTATATATTATATAATATATAGATATATATCAGTTTTAGTGTAGTTATCTCAGTTCACGGGCAAATCGGTGTAATTGTACATAGCTTTGTGAAATAATTCGACATAGATGGGTGACCACGAGTTATAATAACAATAATGCTAATTTCTGCTTTCAATATTGATCTGACCTGACCTAACCTGCGACCAAAGGCAACCGTTAATAAACAAAAAAAAATGTTTGAAATTCCAAGGTGAATCTTAAGATTCCTGTTTGACCACCTCTTTAAAATGTGAATATCAGAAAATCCTTTTTTATTGCACATCTAGATCATTAGAGGAATCACTATTCAAAATATAAAGTTCGTACGATTTGTATTTTAAAACCAATTATATATATTGTATTATTACAACCCCTTATTTTCAACTTTTATTATTGAATTTCCATAAAACATTTCCTAGCGAATGCCTACATTATAATAGCTATCTGTCTGCAAAGTCTGCCAGATCCGTCCAGTAGCTTGGGCTGTGCAGTTTGTGTGTTGATACATCAGTCAGTAAGGTGACTGTTTCATATAATATACAGATTATAATGACCAGAGATTGAAACCAAAAATATTTTTTCCTATTTCCGATTTCCAATTTGGTTTCGGTTATTGTTATTTATTTTTTCGGATTTCATTTTTGGTTTTGATTACCGTTATTGATTTTTTTTCAATTTAGTTTCAGTGTTGACATCAATATCGGTTTCAATCACTGACCTATGATGATTTTCTACTGACCTATAATTGAGTTATTACTTATTAAATGTCTATCATTAATTTAATGTAAAAAAAAATCGTTGTTCATCGTTTTATTAATATGAACATTTTACAAATGATTCTTTTTATATGGCAAACAATTACTTAAACTTAAAGTTTATATACTAGTTAAAAATATTGAAAAGGCTTTTTGTCTCCGTTATAAACGTACAACATGATAAATGTTCGTTCAGCGATACGTTATTGGCCTTTTTAATATGCTATATTTTATGTTCACACAAAACTAGGTAGAACATTTAATTAGCATACAAATGCAGCCTTCAAACACATATTATTACAACGCTGTTATCTTTAAGTCTGATTATCCGTAAATTATACTGTACCTATTAAATCTAAACCACTAAATTGAAAGTTCTTCTATACTTTAATTTCCTATGTAATATGTTTTGAGAAACAGAAACGAAATATGTGGGTTGTGGCATTTTTTTAATGATTAATAACATATCAATCAATAAAATTATTTAAAAATAAATCATTATTCTTTGAATCATAAAAACTTTGAAGGTTTTTTAACAAAAATATAACAGCCTACTTTTGATTTTAGATTCTGAGAGGAGCGTGGAATGTAGTGGTTATGCAATGGTATGAATTTTTATTTTTATTTTTTTATATGCTGTACACAAAATTTCTACCAGAAGAATTTCAATGATTTCAACATATAGAACCTTATCTTTTGGCGAATAGCATCAAGATGGACTTTAAGCACGTCATTTTTCGATTTTATCAATAGTTATTTAATGTCATGGGAAAACCCTCCTAAAAATTATGAAAATCCGCTAAATATGAGATTTTAATTTATAATGGTTTGTGTACCTATCACAATAAAAACGAATAACAAATAGAAATATTATAATATTAATTCAACTTACATGATATAATAACTAATAACAAACCGTCTCCTCTCAGAATCGTTTTTCTTATGCAATGCTATTATATTATCGAATTCAAGTTTAATACAATCCATTATACAATGACCTACTTGTAACCTACTGTACAGCAGAGTGACATCCACTTACCCACTTTTTTTTATAAATTGTTGTAAAAAAAAAATGTATACGTTTGAACTTTGTATTAAATTGTCTAGCTTGTCAATTTATTTTTAATACATCAAAACTAGAAGAATCTAAAGAAGAGAAAAATATTAATTTTGTATCGAAAACTACACTCAAGTATTTGACTGTGTTTAATACTCTAATAGCTATTATATCAATTTATATTATAATCAAAGACTATTGTAGAACGTGATCGGAAAACGACATAGATCTGAGTTTTAGATTTTAAGTGACAAACCCAAGGTCGAAGTAAATTCTACAATTACATTAAGGTCATCATTCAAACGAGTAAAATCAGTAGTTAAGTTCAGTAGTTTATAAGTAGTTAACTTGCATGTAGTTAACTTCTATGGATAACTTGAAGCTGGTCATCCATGAACAACGGAAATTTGCTTTAATTGATAACATCGTTAATGCCATTGGTAAATAATGAGACGAGAGTGAGAGAGATGCCGCGGCCGCCTTGTGGAACACCAGAATAAGGGACGTCTGTGATCCAAGATCTTTTCCATGAACATTAATTAATTTTTTCAAATTGCTTTGTACTATTTAAGTAAGAGTGTAGCACAAAACTGTTGTAGACAATACAAAACCTAATTTTATCGTTTAAAAATAAAATTAATAAAGTGTTTCTTAGCTGATCATCATCGGTTAACTGTATCAATAGTGTTGTTATTACAGCTTTCATTATAGAATAATAATTATCGCCACAAGCATAATATAATAATAATAATAATAATATAATGTATTAATATTAACAGATTTTTCAGGAATAATACTCGCTCCAACTATGAGTACACATATTCTATACGTTCTCCGTACTGGAGTCTCTCATAGAAGGCTAGAAAATTAATTTTTACATTTTTAATAATTGTACAATATTATTATAATATTATAAATTTTTTATGGATTCAACGATAATATCATTATTTTTAAGTGGCACTTGTCACTGTGCACATTATTGTATTTATTTATCAATACAGACTCTTAACAACCTACATACAAACCTATCTTGAGGCTTTCAAGACTCCGGTACAGTGCTACAGTGTGAAATAAAAACACAATATTTCAAATTATATTTATTTAATTATTATATTCCAAAATAGATTAGTTATAAGACAGTTTCAAAGAAGGATGATTAATATTATTAAATAGTCACCTATTACATTTATGAATATGTATGAATATAATCTAAATCTACAAATCATTGATACAACAATATTATAAACTAAGAAAATGGCAAACTAGTATACTAAAAACGCGAGTAATTTAATTATCATCAGAAAAACTCATTGTGTCTTGCAGCACTCATGAATGAAACCAATATTTTTTACGTTTACTCATTGAGTACACACAACCATGTTATTTATTTAGCCAAAATAATAATATTAATAATAACTATATATTAATAATGAAAACAAAAAACTTAAAACACAAATTTCTTTTTAGACACAAAAAGTTTTCTTACACAATACAAACTACAATATCCACGAGTATATTGACTATAGAGTAGTAAAATAATTAATTTTAAAAGTGCAATATTATAATAGTTTTTCAAGTAATAAGTATTTAATATTCGTGCGAGTACTAGATTATATAATTATTGTATTATATAGTTGTAGTAAATAATGTAAAAAACAAAAATTACAAAAAAAAAAACAACATAATTGTATATGTACAATGTACACCGATCGTTAGTTGGTATAGTGGAACTGTTGATGGAATGTTTTTTATTATTAGTTTACACTATCATTCGTGTTATTACATGAAAAAATTATGACTGGCAACCGCATCAAGGACTAGAAATATTTAATTTATCTGTTAAACTTTGTGTTCGGAGAAGTCGTCCGTCTCGAAGCTAGATGTTTTTTTTAAAAAAGTATATATATTTTTATACATCAGACGACAATACAACAATATTATGTGTAGCTGAATCATGGTCAAATACGTAAAATCAGTACTGCGTACTGTTACCCTATAATTTGATCCTGGGACTTTTGCTCGAATATTATAAATTTTGGTACAATTATTGATTATTTTTTATACGGTATCTGCAGTATGACGCCCGAAAATTTTAGTCATGTTAATCGTATACGAAACAGTGTATGCAATGTTATGTAATATTATTAATACCATCTCGAGTAGTGTTTTCGATTAATAATATAGCAGGTATTTTAATAGTTGTTGTATAGTTTCTCTGGCGCAACGAACAAATTAGCGAGATTCGAGTAAATAAGAATATTCCTTTTTTTCTTTCAGACTATCCGTCCTGGCTGTAAACGGGTGAGTTAACAATATTATTACTGTTTAGAAGTTTTAAAAGGACAAAAAATGAGTTCAGTATATTATTACATTCGTATACATAATATCGTTATTATAAAATTCAACTTCGTAACACAGAACTTTTATATTATAGGTATATGACGTACAACGGTGCGGACGTCTGACGATGTTATTTTATTTTTAAAGTCTAATCGCATTTGTGTATTTTCCGAGAGCGTATTATCGTTAGGCGATGGGGGTCGAGGTCGGCGTAAGGTGTTGAACAAAAAACAATGACTAAGAATGCCGAGAAAATGTACATTTCCAATCCCCAGGCGGCGGTGCCAGAGGTCGGACCTGAAGTATCTGAATACCGATAACGGGATACCGTGTTTGCGGTATACAGGTGTAAATTCGGATTTCGAGATCTTTTCCTTTGGGCGGGTTGTCGAGTGGTTGGTGGGTGGTGCGGGTGGTATTGGCGGGATGACGAGAAAACAAGGTCGAGAAGTATAATAATATTATTATCTCGCAAAGGCATGCCTGTAATACGTATGTTGAGTATCCGCTTTTGTCGCCCGAATCGAATTCGAAGTCACTACCACTACGTAAAGCCTTTTGCAACGACGGCGGCGAGGTGGACGTTCTGAGCATTTTTCGTTATTCAGTTTTCTCTTACACTAGTACCGTCTCGGTTGGTCAGCGGAGGGTCTGTGGACGAGTCTCGTGTCCTGCATTAGTTCTTCGTTTGAGTGTTTTTGCGCGTCCGACATTCGACGATTCAAAATAATGTTTAAGTGAGTCCCGTGGATCTTAGGCCACAATATGTAGAGCACCTACGGGACAGGTGACGGGTGGGGAGTTGTAGTGTCCGTGGGAGGTTGGGCACTTGGTGTGGATGTTTCGTAAATACGAGACGTTTACCTACGCGGTGCTAATATATTATTATGACTCTCGGTTATAACTCTATATACATGCAGCAACGGCGAATAAATTATAAAGACGTTATTTCCGGTGAGTAAGAGGTAAATAATAATATGCGATTATTCAGGTAGGTTGGTAGATGAAATTCGAGGAGTGGTAGACCGGTGGTAGGTACCAAGGATGGTTGTCGAGTCGCCGCCGACCGTCGAGTGGCTTTTGTGTGTAATAGGTACGTGTGCGTTTGTTTTTTTACCATTATTCTTTCTCTTTCTTTTACTGTTTTCTTTTTAATACCCTTCTTTTTCCTTCACATTCACTCCTCACGGCCTGACGCTATTTATTTATTTATTTGTTATGATTATGAATATTATTTTTTTGAAAGGGAGGGGGGGCGCCCTCTTCTTCTCGTCTATTCCTAACACAGCCCCACCTTTCTTCATTTCCCGCCCGACCATTGTGCACGCAAATAATTTAAAACCTGGCAGACAGTGACAATGGAATTTTCCTATGGCAGTACTCCTCCATTCCCACGAAAAATGTGAAACAAAGTTAGGCATTTCCCCAACAATATCATTCATAAGTATAATATTATTATTATTATTATTATTATAGTTATTTATTTCTTTTTTCCCCGTTATTTTGTTGCTCGCGAGTTGTGCGCTTTTTATGACGTCAAAGGTAAAGTGAATTAAGAAAACAAAAATAATATTAACTTGTACATGGCGTTACAGTAAATCGTATACAGTAGTTACTTAAAACAACAAAAGAAAGAGAAAACTAAACAATAAATAGGAAGAAAGGTCAGTATTAAAAATGAAAATGTACAAAGTTTGTAACTTTTCGCCATCAATAATTTCAATACAAATTCGAAATGTTGATAATTGTGAATAGTATACTAATAGATAAACAAGAAAGTAAAACAAAATTACAATAGTTTCAAATGTGAATACGTATATTTCGTGCGCATACAAATATATTAAATAAATCAATTTTATTGTGAAAACGGCGGAGTTGCTAAATTTAAAAAAAAAAAACCTATTGACTTGGGTAGGTAGTAATTTATTAGACAACGCTATTACATTTTCGTTATTTTATTGCAATAGAAAAATCGTTTTAGAGTATCGTTTACGTGTAGAAAACTAATCTGGTTGATTTACCACCTGATAAATTTATATTATTATTTTAAATTAAACATGACAGGATAAGTAGTATTATGTTGTGTCTGTATAAGGTTCGGAACTACAATAAATATATAATACTTCGTTTAGTGTTATTTGGTATGTCATACATACTACATTATGATAAGTGAGTTGTTATAGTGTCATTTTGGAGAAATAGGTACACGACACCGATGTATGCTACTTAATTTTCCTTTAATGTACCCCCATGATTATGTATTGAACGTAAATTGTTTTTCTTTCAATTACCAATAACCATTATAAACAATAATATGCTCAAATTATTTCTTAATGATCATTTTTTTCTCCAGAATTATTATTATTAGGTATTGTGATTTTTTTTTTGCAGAACATCCTGTCATTACTGCGTTTCATTTTAAGAATTTCGTAAAAAGGGCACTTATATACCAACATTTAACAACAGCAGTGTTCGGGTCGGAAACATCATAATATTTTGGATTGAATTATAAAAAAAAAAAAACAATCAATCGGAATACCATTTTGTGATACACCAGAGACGCCACTGACGAAAAGTTTTCTTTTACAATTTTTTTTTTCAAAATTCCTTATTTGGATAAACAATCTTAAACATTACATATAACATATAGAAGTAAGCGTAAATTTTATGGTAATACAACGAATCAGCTGTTAACAATGTTCCCGATATAAAACATAAACAATCAACAATATATGATTACAATCGTTCTTACGATAATAGTAATTTATTACCATGCTGTAATAATATTATATACTCGATAAATAATAATGTTTATATCATATAATAATATAATTATAAGGGTATAGTATAATAATAATAATAATAATAATAATAATAATATACTGTACGTAAATAATTAGTATTAGGTACTATTTAATAATTTAACCGTTTATAAATAATAAATGAAATAATTGGCTTAACCCGCATTAGTAGCAACCAGACCAAATACAATATGTATGTAATTATAAATACGTGAGTATTGGGTAGTTCGAGGGAAATGTATGATGATAATAATAATTATGAAAAGTAATGGGTGTGTGAAAAATGTTCAATAAACACCGGTAAAAAAAAAATAAATATCAAACCGAGTCTAGTCGTTTTTGACTTACATAAAACATACAAACTCGACTTTGAGTTTTTAATGCCGGATATAATATTATATATTTATATTAAAACACTTAACTGAATAAAAGTCAACGGAATTCAAAGAGGTTTTTAACTTCGATTAATGTCGAAATGATTAATATTATCTTGATGATTGGGAAAAATTCTAAACACGACTAAAGAATAAAGATACTTAATTGCCAATGAACTATGCCTAATATTATTGTTTTCTCAAACTGATTTTGAATAACTGATTTATACCCTACTGGGAAATTGTATACTACATAGTAAATAATATTTATTTATAATATAATAGCACAGTGACTAAAGTGAATAGTTGCGTGTCCGATATACTAGCTTTAAAGTTCTGAAGGTTCAATATCACTTTTTTCCTTTAAGTTTTGACTTTCGCGAATATGAAATTGTTTTATGATTCAATAATAAATCGTTACTATCTAGCTTCCTGTTTATTACTACATTATTCATAATATGTCTAGCTGCATATGGCTTTTTTCCCACATCGGTTTTTGATTTAATTAAATTCAATATTGTATTATTATTATTATTTCTTTTTATTATTATTAATTTATTAATTTTTATTTTGTGTGTGTGTGTGTCTATTGCAAAACATTAAAATTTCATTCTACACCATTATTATATAAATTGTGGACTACGGTTGCGGTTAAAACTATCATCTTTGATACCAATTTAATAGGCGACCAATTTGAAGACCCAGTAGAAAGCAACGGCATAGAAGATGGTGGAGTAGGTGTTGCTGGCAGCGTTTGGATCTGAAATCAAAGTGGGAAAAAACACGATTAATAACATATTAATAATTGGATGCTGTAAACTATTGATATAATTATAATATAGGTATGGTTCACTTTTTCAGTGAGCAAACTATTTAATTTAAATTTAGTAGATATTAGAGTATAAAACCACCGGAGGAGCGGATGGAAATATACAGCTTATTTAATGCGGAAAGCGTATTTATAACCGAACCACGAAGAGTCGACTAGATACTATCGAAGTTTAAATTGGCGTTTGAAAACTTTTTGTTTGTCTTTTATCACCCCGGAAGACTGAACGGAGTTGATAATAGTTTTTGCGCTTTTGAATTATCAAAATCAACAATTATTATTCCCGCTCGCGTTTTTGTCTCTATTATACCGTCTGAGGTCGATTATGCACTATACAATTTGTACAGATGAATACTTGCAGTCGCTGGGTATCACAGCAGTTTTAAAGGTATTCAAAAGATTTATTTTTGTATTTATAAATTGGATATGTTAAGAAACGATAACAACATGATATCGTGAAAGTTTACTCTGAACTTTTTCTCTTGAACTTAACGACTTTTATATTACCTAATAATATAATATTCATCGTAAATGCATATGGTACCATGATAAGGAAAAAATGTATCCATTAATAATAAGAACTCTATGTTTAATAATGTGTATATTGTGACGTACAAAGACATTATTGTAATTACTGTTAAGCCATTAGTATTTGTTCTCTGCATAATGTTAAAATATAATACATACCATATTACCATATTATACTCAAAAATCTCGATAACTACTGGATGCTTAAAGACCAAAACCAAAATAACTTGAGGCATCAAATTGTCAAAATAATTTTAATAATAATTTAGGTAGGTATTTTTTATACTATTTTGTCGTTAATAGCAGAACTAAATAATGACATCAATTATACAATTGTATTTTTTTTTTATTTATATCTCAATTGTTTGTATTTATTTTGAAATAAGATAGTTGGCTACCTTAACAATGTATGTATGGGGCCCATGAGCTCAAAATTTCAAATAAAAAAATTTAAAAAACTTATTAAATAGTAAGCGCGAATACAATTAAGTGATTACCTACAGTATATTTTTCTCTAATGTGCTCTGAAATAAATTGTTTGTACCAATTTTTTTAATTCTATTCATTTGTGTCATTGGGTACTGTAAGCGTAGTTCATTTACATTTTATTTAATTATAATTATTATACTTAATAAGTATATAATATACACATGTACCTTAACCCATGAAAATATAACAATAAATTACTGATTAAAAGTGTTCATAATAATATTATAGGATTGCCCAGACTTTAATACAGAATAAAGAACTTTTTTTAGAAAGACTGCATTCTTTACTGATTTTTCAGCAATTTTGAATTATTTTTATTCGATTCATCTAGAATCTGTTGTATTTACAGTCTACAAAAGTATTCATATATTCTAAAGGGATTTAATATTATATTAATTAGTTATAATAGGTGTTTAAGGATCGAACTTTAATTCATCATAAAACTTTTATAAACGATTATGACATAATCATTATGTGTCTTTTTGAACAGTTAAACTGTAGATAGGTACCTCTAGTAGTTATTTTATTCAATACGAATTACCTAATAATAAAAAGTTGTAACTTTTAACGCGT